AAGGGTTTTTGGCGAGGAACGTGTGTCGGGACGTGTAATAAAATCATTTGATTTTGATATTACGTCGTCCGAATGAATATTCAATCGATAGGGCAGCAGATGTAGACAGAAATAATTCAACGGCGGCACTATGCTAGGTAGTTAATCTCTTGCTATGATAATTTGTCAGCGCGACGTATCGGCTATAAATCAAAGAGGCGACGACACGCGAGTCTCTCGATTTAAAATCGATTAATCCTTCCAAAGCGTCTATATAAAAACCCCATAATTCGCGTGCGCAGTTGTCATCGCTTCCTCTGTATGAAAAGCAATTTTCCTCGTGCGTCCTTGAAAGCCAATTTAAATAAGAGAGAATTCGGCCCGATAAACAACGTCAAAGAGAGGAATCCAATCAGCACGACAAGCTGCAGACTAAAAGCTGAACGCGGCGAGCGTGACTAATTAGGTGATACTTTACGGGACGAGAGGATCAAGTTATTTTTTTCTTCGTAGCTTTTTTTCAAACGAGAAGAAGCTGTTGATAGCTCGCCCCTGTTTAAGCTGCGTCTGTCTTCATTTTATCGACAATCGTAAAAATTATACTCGAGTGGCAGACGACGCGTTGAATTTCCAAACTTGTTTTACTATGCGTGATAAATTCACACCCTTTTTCAGATTCCGTTCTCTTTTCCTTCTCTCGATCGCGCCAGTCGTGTACGAAACGGATACTTTCAATATTTTGATTTCGGAGTTTCGTGTGTTTTTAATTAGGATAAATCATTGGGAGACAACAACGAAATTACGGATACATCATGGTAAATACGATGAATTACGAGTCATTAACCACAGCGAAAGTTTTTATTAATTACATTTTTCTCTAGCAATAAAATGTATCATTTTTTAAATTTCTTAATCAATAGCACACGGCAATTTTTTAAGATATACTAGCGTGATTTAGCGCACTTTTTTCAGAAATTTACTCAATAGCAGTGGTTTTCTGTGACCTCAGTATAATATTACTATTATTACTAATACATTTCATAATCGTATGTTTTTTTTGCTGTCTCGTTGAAAATATCTGTGAATATTGTTCAAATTTAATGTTCTATTATTAGTTTCCGTTTTCCGCATAGCTCTCACTTTACAATGTCAAAAAATCCAAACTTCCTTCATTTTATTCTAGTCACTTTTTCTCTATCCAATTGAATTTTAAGATGACACTATTAATTTCACAGATAGTAATCAAATTATTGACTCCTATACTAATTATTCCAACATAATTTGAAAAGACAACCTATTATTTTTTAAAACGATTTATCAACGACATATTCCTATTTTTGCACATTATTATCCATATTAATTATTCATAAATGAAATTTCGTCTTTAAATAAAAATCTCTCATTTCTAGATGTATAACACAGTTTTTCAACCAGTCCCAACGCTGGTTGTCGGCGACTCATCATTTTTTTAAGGTTTTAGGTTTTAGAAAACATTGACAATAAACAAGATATCATAATAAATCTATAAAAGGATAAACCTCCTACAATCGCACGAATTATTCAAAATTTTTCATCTTACACCTCAACAAAATAATATATCATGTTTTCTAACGTCCGAATAAATTATTATTAAGTTACATCGGACAAAGGCGTCAACTCCATCCATCAACACGTGTACAATTAAGAATCTCAATTATTATCGTATTACTCAAACTTTACCCACCTAACAAAGAAAGTTAATGTAATATACGGATTATCATCCAAATAAAAAGAATAAACCCAAGACAGGTGCGAAAGCGCGCGCGAGATGTAATTGCGCTTTCGGGTTCCCACCTGCTGGCGAAAAAACCAGTTTTCGGCATAACAGGGGGAGGTCGTCTTCCAGATATATGCATGCTACCGAAACCCTTTTGTCTCGATTGCTCACGACGACTGCTACCATACATAATAGCCGGAAATGAGCTCTGACGAGACAAAAAGAGCACGAGATTCATTCGGTGAGAGGGCGGTCGGGAGCGCGTTACGTCATTCTCGCTTGTCTTTAATTTTGTTGGCGGGGTTTTAATTTGATTGCAGGCCTCGTAGTTGTTTCGTTTTGTCTTGTAGGCGATCAATTGTAAGTTTTGCGATGAAGCGAATGACTAGTTTCGATTCGACGATACAATTTACAGTCTACTGTTTGCAGAATTTTCCGTCTGAGTAAATATTGCAAAAGCCGTTATTCTTCTTTGAAGGGGTGTTTCTCAAATTGGCATCGTTAACGAGAGAGAGAGAGAGAGAAAGAGAGAGAGAGAGAGAGATAATGCTTGGGGTCTCGATTTCAGGGTCGAAATCCGCATCTCCAGGGCGAAAAAAGAAGAAGAAAGAGGCAGTTCTCATAATGGCAGAGAGCCGAAAATCGCAGCGGCACGAGAAGAAAGAGAAAGAGACTTTGCGAAGGAACAAAAAACAATGGCGCGCTACGAGAATAAAACGAGCTGCACTAGCTATCTCGGCTTACAACTGGTTTTTCGCCGGCCGGCACACTCGAGAAAACGCGTGTAAGTGCGCGCGCGCGGCTGCCGTCATACGAAATAGGAAGGGAGACACTCGTACACGATTATTCCTCGCTGGAATATATTACAACCTCTTGTTTTATGGAAGTTTCGCCAATTACTATCCGACGTTTGTCGCGAAGGGCCTTTATAAATAATGAAAATTCCACATTCGAAAAAATCATGTTAGGATACTACGATACACTTTGTTTGCTTGTATAGAGAATATCTTCGCTTGCAATAAAATTACTGCTGCTTCACTTCTCTCTCTCTCGTCCCCCCCCCCCCTCTCTCTCTCTCTCTCTCTCTCTCTTTGCGGTTTTCGATTTAAGAAAAATGTGTGCCCTTCAAAGCCAAGGCACATTATACGGAGATTTCGATGAAATGCAAATGTGTTCAAAGAGAAAGACGTCACGGTCAAGGTCTATACGAAACGACAATAATTGTTACGTGCATAAACTTACGATCAATTATAATCGATGGGAAACGAGTTTACGTATGTATACTTATTTGACGAAATTGCGGGGTGTTGGCGATATTTCGATTCTCGAATTACCATTTTGAGGTTTGTGTGTGTGTGCGTATTTATGTCTGTGTGTGTATGTGCAGGAAATAAAACGAAATTGCAAGTATTCATTTACAACAAGCTTCTGTGCAACAACGAGTTTTTTTACGAGTGTGCGAAAATAACGAGGCACTACGCGCATTTTTCTCTCTCTGCGGTGGTCGCGATTGATACCTATCGCGTTACGTATCACCGATTTTTTCTTTTTTCTTTTTTCTTTTTTTTTTTGACAAAATATCCTTTTCGAGAGGTTATTGCAGCAAATCCTTCGTCAAGCTTTTATCTGAAAAATGCGTTTATCATTCAGTACAAAACCTCTCTCGACCTTCCAAAATCTTATCTACTCTCGATGATCCGATGAACGAACGAAAAGAAAAAAGAATCACCGTTAGAGCTCCGCACTTTCCGCCCGAAAAAAATGGCAATCTCACGTTCGCTGAAAAAAAATTAGGGTTCCACCCGCGCGTAACAAAAGAGCGGCAATTAGTTTGTGTGACGGCGCGTCTCCCGATGCACAGACAGCAGTTGCGGGAACCGGAATGCCTGAGTTTACAGACACGTTGTAGGTGTTATAATGCAAGACGGCCTCGCGCGTGCGCCGCTTATATAAGGTCGACGACCGTTGCGATGTCTTTTCGTTCATCCCTGAGCGGACTGATCAACTTCCAAGTGCAAGCAGGTACTTCGCTTAAGAGTGCGATTGGCGAGAATTGTATTGGCTTTATGACTGCATTGCGTCCTGAAAAAAGTCCTGAAACTTACTGCTTACTTGCGAAAATTTCTCGAATTGAATCGTCCGTCCTCTAAGTTGGTGAATGTTTGCGGACAGTGTAATTGCTTCTTTCATTGTGCATTGTTATACTATTCTTTTTCTTTTGTCTGGTAATAGAATATTCTATTCGACACGATGAAAGATAAACCTTTATTTGCACGGCAGAGCCTTACCCTTAGATGTCTTGCTACCGACATTTCAACAAATAATCAATTTCAAGTTTCTTTAATTTTTCAGCAATCCTAAACGTAACCTCGAAAAGGAAATTGCTGAATTGTGAGGTTTTTATTTCGAATCTGTTTCATTTTGTCTCATTTTCTCAACTTTGAAATAATTTTCGCGCGTTCAAAGTTGAGTTGAAATTTTGAGATTTTATTATCCTTCGGTTGTGCCAGAGAAAAGATCATTCTGCATATCTTGAGTATGCAAAATACTCAGAATGTAGGTTGTTTATTTGACACGTCCAGTAACGGTTTTCGTTGGAGACAAAGAAAATTAAAAGACCACTCTTGGCGCTGTGTAATTCATCTTGCAAAACGAGAATAAATCACAAAGTATGTTCGCATACATGTATACTCTATCGATAATCACGAACGCGTATTAATTTTCCGATATTTCAGAAATTGCGCAACCACGGTTTAAAAGCTCTAGCGGTGATAGTTGCGTCACATACATCCACACATCCCGTTTCGGCCGCAAAGCGTCCCCATTGCGATCGTGGTTTCGGTTCGATGTGCGGTAGAAAAACTTTCTTGATTGACACCTGAGATCTTTTGGATAGGCAGTTTTTTCTCCTCTGACCAAAGTGAGATTAGCTGAATTTTCCTTCTGGTGTGGGATGTAAATGGAGTGCCGTGAGCTTGCTTTCACGCGCACGTGTTTCTTTTTTATGCGCGACAATAGAATAAAAATAGAAAAAGAACGAAGCGTTAGAATGTGCATGTATGTAACGCAAGAGGGAAATTAGTCAGCCGGTATAAATCAACACACACGAGACAGCGTGGAGACGCCAGAAAAGTGTACATCGATCGCGCGCCCAAGTAAATAACTCAAAAACGCGTTCAAACTTCCGCATGTTTTACACACGCGCACACACAGGCAGACACAAAGAGGGAATAATAATAAACAATGAAATAAGCACAGAACTCACCTCGCATCTGGACGTATCAAGGATTTCGACTTCGGTGGTGACGTTGTCGATAGTCACGCTATGACGGTAGAGAAAATCTGCAAGGAAAAAGAAATGTTGTATTGCGTCATAATTATGCGCTTTTGTTCGCAATACGGAAGACACGACGTGTCTATAGATTTGACTTGTGTTATAGCTGCGCGTTCGACTTTTACGAAGGTGCGCGCCTGCATATATATATATTCTCGTGACTCAATTTCTTGCGGCGTGAGTGATGTAAATTTTATATTGTGCTCCCGTTATAAGACTGAATATTAAAAATAAAATTGATGGATAAATGAGCCGAAGTTCCGTATGAGAAAAAATTATTTACAAACTGCAATGTTGAAAGCGTCGCTCTTCTTTGAATGTACGATCTTCCGCGCGACGCTTCGAAAGAAAGTGTAACGTAAATATACGATCGAAGCATGCATTTGCCACGAGTTTCACTTCCTTCTTTCTTCCTTTCTGCGCATCGATCAACTTAGAGAATAAATATCGGCGTGACGATGATGACGGCGATCGTGACCGCGAAAATCGTTACGCAACGCGCGATCCTCGAAAAAAAAAGAAATCGACTTACAGTTACGCTGCAGGACGCAGTATCGGGCCAATCGATTTGCCCGGATATCGTGCTATTAAACGAGCGACTTTTTCGATAAGTGAAAGACACATTTTCTCGGAAATCAATGGCGAGCGAGCAGGCAAAATAAGGTTAATACATTGCGTTATAAAATAAATTTGCCCCGGCGCCAGCGCCAATTTTCGGCGATGCCGCAGCAGGTTCTCGACCTTGGCTCGCATTTCGATATCGCGTAACGGGATTTCCTTCGCGAAGCGAGAAAATGAGCGCCGATTGCCGTCGTAATTCATCAATTTCGTGTTTGAAAAGAAGCGAGTGTGTTCGTGTTGAATTCGAGAGCTTCTACCGATTAATGGGGGAAGACCTTATCGCTTGATGTATTGACGATCTTAACGGCGAAGATATTTGTTTTATAAAGTTCAGGGTCGGATTTGATTAGCCAAAGCGATAAGAATTTCGTTCGCGGCACATCAGCGACTCGCAGGCACGATGCGAGTGGCCTGTATGACGCAATTGTGGTGCTTGGCGATGCCCAACTTTGTTAACGAATCGAAAAAAAATAAATTGTTTACGTTTGGCGTCTAAAAAAACGCATTCAAGTATCGAAAATAGCACGCAACGCCTTTATACACCGAGACGGGGCGGGAAATATTATGACGTCGCGCTCGATAATAAATCAGTCGGCAAACATCGTTTCGCACTGTGTACGCGCATGCACGAAAATCATAAATTAATCCGCCTCAGAAAAGAATTATCGGCTCGTTAATGTTACGACGACACGTGAGGTTGGAGTGGGGTTGGACCCACATATCTTGTACATGCCATGTGATGCAAGATTTTTCTTTTCTATGACGTAATTGCGAAAATTTCACCGCGTAGAAGCTGAAAAGAGAATAAGCGAGATACGTCCATTTTAATGGATAATTAAACGAACCATAAGTGAAATTAAGTAAGTTAAAATGATAGGAGGAAAGTTCGCGCTCGCTTTTTTCCCCAAGTCTATGTATATTTTAAGCTCATTACAAGTCATTTAGAAAGTCATTTCGGCAACGATATAAGCGTTAATTTATTATCAATAACTTCATTCTTAAGACCAATTAGAATCAGTCATTTCAAGCTCGCGAAGTAGAAATGGCTTTCTATATACAAACGAGCGGATTTTTTCAAATCGGAAATTCAAGAAGCGAGTTTTAAGTTGAATGTGCGAGAGAGCGAGTGAAATAGCACTCGCGTAAGCCAGCGGATTGATTGATTGATGGAAACGATTTTGCACCCGAGTATCAAGTGTTTGAACTAGGTGCAATTTGCGAGTTCAAAAGTTGACAGCGAAAGTATGCGCTTTTGACGAAGTTAAAAATTGATTTTGAAAGTCGAGTGATTTATATCTGTGCTCACGCGAGCCGCGTGGAAAAAAGTCGATCGGCCACTTTGCCGACATTCTATTTTGAAAGATATCTGGAATGTCGAAGAAAGAGCTTTTATTCCGCTCTCTTTTTTTCTTTTTTACCGAGCTCGAGGTGGACCTCAAAACCGATTACTCGGCTCGGCGCATGAACGCGAAAATGTTCTTCTCGCGACGACGACGTTTGTTTACGAAAGTTTCGCACGCGCTCGAGGCGTAAAACTGGATCTTTAAAACTTGATTATTTTGCATAGGCGCGCGCGACTACCGGTCTTTTCCCGAGGATACATCTTTTCGTTTTCTTCCTTTCTTTTTTGCTTTTTGCCGCGGGCAGGTGTCTTCAGAGCTGCGGGTAATTAACAGACTGATGCCTAGCATTTTCGCTTTCAAGGAATCCCCGTGCGTCGATGGCTTTCGCATCGACAATAGTAAATCACCGTCGTGTATACGTATGCATCGAAATCGCAGGGGAGATGGAACGCGCGCACACGACGACGTATGCGCGAGAGAAGCTTTTCCTCGCTGTTTTATTGCCAGCCGTAGAGGAATGCGACCAAGTTTCTTCTCTCTTGACTACTCGTGCTTCTAATTTCAGACGAGAGCGTCTGTCTCTGGCACCGCGGATATTACATTAGGTGTGGGACGACGACATTTTTCGAAGCTTCACTATAATAATGAATAATGTATTTTCACGAGAGATAATGCAAATCACGCTACCCTTTTTTCCCCAACTTTGCCCTCGAGGGGCTTATTATAGCAGTCACGCGGATGTTATGCTTCAAGAGGTGAAAGTTCGAGAGGATGCTTTTTTCTATATTTAGATGAGTATCTTTAAGAAAAACATTCTTATAACGAGTTCTTATTTTTAGAAATAATGGAATTCGCTATTTCAGAGTCGTTTTTTTCTTTCGTGTACTATCCCAAAGTCGCGGATTATTGTCTCTACAATAGACCCAAAGCTCTCCAAATTCTCTCTGTTGCTTGGGCACACTCGATCTATCAATCCTAACCAATGAATGAAAATTGTGTGCAATTGCCGCAGAGTCCTCTGTCCAACGAGATAAACGTTGTTTCAAATTCTAAGAGGAAGAAGAAGAGCAGTTTCTTTATTTGTCAGAATTATGCACAGACTTTCCGTAGAATTCATAGAATATGGAAAATCTTGGTTGTCTATTTTGCATAGGATCGAACGAGAACTCGTCAAAATTTACGCAGAACTATTTGTCGACAAAAAACTTTGCAAAAAAGTCTTACGACGCCTCGTACTAATCCGTAAAAGCCCTCAAGTAGGCCAGTAAAGTACCTTACTTACGGGAGAGAGAAAGAAAACCTGGTGTCTATAAATATCAAATCGATTGCCCTCCCATTCTCTCGAAAAGAAAAGCCCCTAACTCTGTAGACGACTAATAGCTGGCATTCGCAAAAAACGACACTCGAGCAATAATCCCTTGCACACGCGCGTGCGCGCATCTAGCATCCATCACTTTGCGCTGCTTGCATAAAAGGACTACACGCATGAAAGGGGGGTTATATAGGAGTCAATTACCGCCCCGTCACTTTTTACCATGCAGTGCACGAAGCGCGAAGGTCAGACTTTATTTCGAAAGAGAGAGAGAGACGGTTCGCATTCCATTGCTCTCTCTCTCCCTCTCTTCCCCCTTCTTCTTCTTCCTCGCTGCGTGTAATGAGCGGAAAATGCGGACTAATGGATTGTATTAACGCGCGTATTAAAGGCCGAAGCTTAATATTATGTGTGCGCGTACGCAGAGAGATGAGTTAGATTAGCGAAAGACGATTTTTTCTTCTCTAGAGGGATGAAACAATGTTGGATTTTCTTTCTAACTTACCGCTGGTCGAACTGTACTCGCCGATATAGCGACGCGTCAAGTATCGCACCACTACAGCTGAAACAGAAAAATAAGGATGGTTATTCAAGCTGATCGCTCGCTGCTTGGTATTTGGGACTTAGGAGACAAAAGAAACACTCGTTGCACATCCTTCGGAACCATTCATCCATTCGTAACGACTGCTTGCATTCAACGTAATCTCATCACGACAAATACAGGGAACCACGAGAGACAAGGAACAATGTCAAAAGAAAGTTCATTATACAGGTAAAACTAGATTGAAAAGTATTTTCGTATAAAGGCAAAGCTCGAAAAATATCGGCTGTGTAAAGAAGTCGCTGACCTCGATTTCATATATTAAAGCGCGCGCGCACAGACGCACGCGTGATCCGCGAATAGAACTTTTTTTAGAAGGCACCTGTTGCTTCGAATTTTCCTCTCTGCGCCTCTGTACGTACGCGAGCGTTATCGGTGAAAGTTATATACGCAGCACACGTGCGACCTAATAAAGTACGTGAATTTCATTTTTTTTCTTTGCGAGAGAGAAAATTATGATGGTTTGATGTGTATCGCGCGACGATGTTTCTATTGATTGATTTACGATTTTGCATTTGCTGCTTGAAAATGAAGTTTATTGTAATTCCCGCGCCGATCGAGGAAACCATTACGATATAGCAGACGAAATTTCGCAAAATGAAAAAGGAAATTCTGAATTGTAAAGCGTGTATGCTCTTTCTGCAGAAAAAAAGCGTTGATTTAGGAATCGTCCAACAGACGTGGAAATATAACAACAGACGCGTTCCGCCGTAAGCGATTAGGCATATCTACCAAGGAAAGCAAACGAAACCTAATTAGACGAATGCATTTATGGTCAAGGCGATTTCAAGCGCGCGAGCTGTGCAAAACAAATCATCCGCGCAGAACTTTCACGACTTCGCATATATGAATATATTCGAGTCGACGTAACATGGAGTGCGTCATTACGAAGCTTTGAATTTGTAATGATATCAGAATTTGAACGAATTCATCGTGAGCTTTTACGGCTGTTGGCATGGGTATTCCGCTCAATAGTTGATGGGACCCAATATATGGCCGAATGAAACTTAAGAAAATACATTGAACGAAACAGTGAAGACGACACCCTGCACACGCAATCGTGTTTCCTGCGTATTATCGCGCGCTGCTCGACCAAACAAAGTATTTCGAAGCTGCCTCTTTTTTGCTTCGAATTGAGAATCATTCGTCGCGCGTGGGCTGATTGCATTACGAGATGAATCAGGTTCGTTAACGGTATAAACAATACCGCGCACGCTTCCTGCGCGTGCAACGCACCAGCAAAACGTCATCGCTTTTTTTGCGACTATAAAGTAACGCGAACCGTCGATATCGCATTTATTTAAATATTCGAAAAACAAATTTTTCAACATTTCTCTTACTGACCGAAAATCTGCATAGCGACGATCTCGATTTTACGTGACACCATAGAGTACGTGAAATTTGCATGGAATCCAGACAAATCGAGGTTATACAGCCGCGACACTTTCCAAGAGAGACTGTTGACACGTCTTACGCTTATTTGCGTCGATAAACTAATTACGACATCTAACACTTTTTTTCTTGGCTTTTTCACTTCGGCCATGTGAATTTGTATGGGGAATGTTGACTTTCACGAGGATCAGTGTAAATTGGTTTTTGTAGGTGCCAAATTCAAATTTTTAGAATACATTTATTGATTTTTAGGAAATGATCGACATAAAATATTTAACCGAAGGTTCAACATTTATGAAAAATATAATATTCAATAATATATCAAAAGGGTCTTGGACTGATTTATGTAACAACAAGATCTATTCCTCTGCAGATTATTTTAGTAAACAAAGTAAGTTCTCGACTTCATTATATACGTATTTTAAGAACTAATCTTCTTAATACACAAATATCCTCATATGTATTCATACTTAGTGTTTAGAATGCAGTTCTACAATTGATGAAATTAATTTTTGCTATTTCTTTACATCGTTTCGAAAAGATTTCACTAACGATTTATATCTTGTACTCGAAAAATAATCATTGAAACACGAATTGTCGCTTATACATTCTACATTAATTCGCTACTCTCGCGATTTAAATTGTTACGGATTAAAAACCTCAAAGACGTTTTAATTCAATGTAATGTCGCAGTAAGAGTCATAAACGTTTAAAATTTACGAGCATCATAAGATAGAGTTCAATCCCTCACGGATATTTTCTACGATTACGAAACGAAAAGTATTATAGATAGAATTTATGCGATCACTGAGAATATTCGTGCAGCTTAAAATTCCACTGACAATTCAGTTGAACCCGCATAAATCATAAATGTGCTTCTCGTTTCAATTTTTCCATGACAAGTAATGATATTTCAAATTTTATATATTAGAAACTGCAACTTTGTCGAGAAAATGACCTTAATTAGATAAACATCTAACTCTAATATTTGAAGAAGAAAAAAAACGCATATGCACTTTCACGTCGCGGTCGAGTGGGAGAGAAATCAATTTCCGTCTCTAAAGAATTTAATTATTGCATCTTGCCGGCTTCGTATACGAGTGATTGAGATGTTAATTAGGCTAGAGGCACGTGCATCATCACGCGTGCGCTACGTTGCTTTTCCTTAATTATTACGGTAAATCCGCGTCGCCGTCGTGGGATGTGTTGACGGCTTAATTTTTTTCCCCCCTCGCGAGAGTGTTGATGGAGTTGCTTCGCTTGTAAATTGAAAGACGAGCATTTTTCGACGTGCGAGCAAATGGAAACTTACCGTATGTAATTTTCTTGAATATTTTGATTACACTTCCACTTGAGAGTTTGTGCTGTAAAAAAAGGCAAGAATGTTCTGTGTGGAGATTTTTTTTCAAGGGGATATTCTTAAGATGAAGAAAATTAGAATGACAATTTTGTCAAAGTAAGAAAATGTAAGCAGTTTTAGGCTTATCAATGTCGTCGTATCGCATTCCATTAAAAGCAAAAATGGCTCTCTCATCTTCAGAATATTCGTTTTTGACCGATTCGCGATAAGTGAAAATCCGGCTTCATTAAGCAGTTGACTATATTTCCCTAATTACCGGCATTCCACTGCGCGATAAAAATCCACGCTTGGATTTTTATCTCGCAGACTTTCGAACGGTAACAAACGATGCGCGATAAATCATCGAGGGAGAAAAAAAAGACTGCGAATATCAATAGACCGCTAAGGTCTGGTTTTGAATTATAGAGTTCACGCCACGTTGCCCCTGAGGGTAGCCTAAGGAGCGACCATAAATTCATACAGCATTTACTCTTATAAGCCTTTCTCAGTCTATCTATGCACACGTGCACTTTTTATTCGACCAAAGTGTAATTGGATATGTGTGCGGCAACTGTTATGCAATTGACAAAAGAATGGCTTTCGTACGTGGGCGAGGGAGGATGCAGACTTCTGTAGAGATTTCGCGGTACTTATCATCGTCATTCTTCCTCCGACGCCATGAGGTACGCCTGACCGAAAGAACGGAAAAAGAAGAAGAAGACGTAACTTCCTGACCTTGGATAGGACACGACGAGCTCTCTTCTCCCCGCGCTATAATTCAACAAAACGACGAAGGTCGAACGAAGAAACGAGGTGTTGAATGCCCGTGTAATCGTTAAGCAAAATGCGTTTTCTTCTTTGCGAGGTCAAGGTTGAGATAAGAGCAGCTTGCTGCATTATAGCCCTCTGCGAGTGGTCTTCGTCATTCGGCGTATTTAAACGAGCAACGATGAAAAGTATTGTCGCGGGGCCCGCGAGGCCCATGAAGAAGAAGAGGAGGAGGAAGGAGAGAAAAAGCGGGCGAGCTGACAGCGCAGCTGTAAGCAAGAGTTCGATCGGCCGCGCGTTCACTTTCGATGCACCGTGCGCGATTGTTCGTTACCGGTTCTCTCTCTTTCTAGATCCACGCCTCCTCGGCTCGCCGGCAGCAGCGGGCGGAAAAGTATGCGAGCGATTCGTGTTTTCGCGCGATCGATCGCTCGCGCCCGTCTTCTTTCGCGCTCGGTACACGCCGCGCAAGAAAAGCGCGCGCCTTTGATGGTTTTATCCCGCGCTCGGAACTTATTAGTCGCCGCCCGCGCCCGCGTCAACGGGCTATTATTGTTGCTCTCGAGAGCACGAGGCATCGAGTTCGATGCAAGGCCGCCGCGCACCAGATATCCGCCAAATTTTGCGCTTACGCAAGTGATGCGCCTTTGGGCGCCTTCGCGTATTGTCGCATTTTTTTCTTCTTCTTTTCGCCAGAATGTCACGCGCGGTATCAATGAACTTGACTGCCAGCGCGTGACCATTTGGAATTCGAAATTGCCGTTCATTTATCGGTATTCAACGTCACTTCATTGGACACCTCGATACTCGGTCGACTTGATTTCAGAGCATACCACATTTGCCAATTCACGTGCAATGAAACTAATAAGTTAATCATACGAACTTGACGCAGATTGTTTGACGACTCGATTTGCTCAAAGTATCGCAAAACGACTTAAAGTTGATCATATCCCTCTATCGACAATAACCCCAAGTTCAAATACCAAAATTTCAGTGACGCATCGCACGGTAAGAAATTTCAAGATGAAACATAACGCAAGAGGATGAAAAGGAACACTAAATGACTTCTGTTCCACTGTGCAGTTGCAAGCCATATACATATGCGTATGCGCTACGCGCAAGCGGTTGATAAAAAATTATACCCTAGTAATTTTTTTCGACGAGAGAGGAAGAGAAAAAGCCCCACATATAAAAGCGACTTTGTCACGCAACAAATCACCGCTGTACATACAGGTGTGCGTGCGCTTGTTTCGACCACCGTAACAATTTTTCCTTTTTGCAAAATAAAGCTTTTGAGATTGACATTCGTCATTAATATTCGTTTGGTATAATCCTTCTGATCATAGAACCATATAGATCATAGACTCGCATTTTGTGCAAAAAATTAATTTCATTGGCTATATACGCACACATAACTCTTTGGAAAATCAAGTGAGAACGGTGTATAAAAAGAATCTATTTTCAACACGGAGAGAGCTTTATTTTTCGATTCTCTGCCTCTGCGTGTTATAAATATCGTCGTATGTCTGTGTGCAGCCTGGAAAAATTCTTCGGTTCGTTTTGCTTTCCTTCTTTCTTGTGCGAATTGCTCGTTTTTTTTTTTTTGCACCCATGAAAAACTTTTAAAAATTGAGATTGAAATAGCTTCATTGTTGTTTTATGCAATACCGATAATACTTGTTTGTAAATTGTTATTTGAGAAAATTCGCTGAATAACTTTTTTTCCAGTTGCAAGCGTTATTCAGTTAAAGATAACAAAAAAATCAAAGTATACATCACTCGACAGTTTTGCCTTAAAATCCCGGAGAAAAAGATTCGACAAATTCGTGCACAAAATAAAATGCACATCACCAAAAATATTCCCGGTACATAAATCGCAATGCAATCAATTTACGATGTGACGTTACGTTTTTCTTTATGACAGCGCCTCCCTCCATGCAAATTAATGTCGTGTGGTCCGAAACTGCATGTCGCGCGTTAATAGAGTCTAGACGTCGATGTTTACGAGCGATAAAGTAACTTATAATTCGATATAATAGCGGCGCTAATCTCGGCGCCCGCCTATATTGTCGTAAATCAATTGTTTTCCTACTCTTCGCTCGCACGCCACAATGTGAAATAATCTCAAGTGGACCTAGGTAATCTTTATTGTTTTGCTTATCTGCGAGCTACTTAAATGTACATTTGCAATTTGTCTACATATACATTAAGAATCGATCACGTTTGCAATGGAATTCATACTTTACATCCGCGAAATATTATTTATTACACGGCTGAAAAAGGTGTCTCATACGTGTGCTTGGCACGTTTCATTGTCAATGTTATTAATTTAAGAAATAAACAATCCGGACTCTCGACTGTTTCAGTTTAAACAAATTTTTTTTTATTTCTTAAGACAATATCTTAAATAAATATCCGATTGGCGAAAAGAATTTTTTTTACTCAAAAACTTTACTTACGAAAGCTTTTCCATGAGCGTTTTCAGTAGCAAAACGGTCCAACGGAAAAAAATTGTGGGAATTTCTCACTCTCCGCGTCGCGCGCACCGATCTTTGAATGAAACTAAACTCAACGCGCGTTGGCTACCGTTTAAGGCGCTATCTCGAGAGCGAAGAAGCCGTGCTTGCAAGTAAGTTTCGTTTCTTTTCTTTTTCCCTCGTTCTTTCTTTCTTTCTTTTTTTTTTTATAAAACTACCTATACCGGGCCCTTTCTTGCCTGTGAGGAATGCGTCGTGCTCGTTAGGCTCTCTGATTGATTATAAACAAGGTCGCCAATGGGTTGTTGCCGTCTGCGTGGATGAAAAAAAGACATTCTTTTCCACGAAAAACATCTATTCTATATATGAATTCGCCTGCCTAATTTTAAAATGCCATGGTAATTTTCGTTCGAGTGTGCTTTTTCCCTTACCTCCGAGAGACGCGCCGGAGAGTTTTGTACGAGAAAGAAGCCATATGCACGGTTCATCCGTTGCAACGGTCAATTTTTAGAAAGTCACGTGCAAAAAAAGGGCCACGTTAATGGGCATATTTTTTATTTTTTTTGTTTTCACCGACGTTACGCTTGAATTTTGAATTTCCATGTCGTGAATATTCATAAGCAAATGTTACATAGTTGTTGTCTTTTTTTTAATTGATACTTCCCTCAAGCTGCTGAATATTACATGAGTGTAAGAACTTGATTTATTAATTAAGTGCTCTTAAGTGACTTTTAATTATATTTCAAACTTATTTGTTTCATATACGGAGAGATTTCTATTTTCTTTACATATTTTTCCCTACCGAACCAACGATTATACATGTTTACATTAACTTGTGAATTTCCAATTAGTTTTTACGTAAAAACTGGAAAATCTAATACTAAATAATCTAATAATACAGTCGATAAATATATGTAGAACAAATTCATCTTCGCCGCATTACGAAATAAACTCGTGCGGAACTGACCTAAGATCAAACCGCAAAAAAGTAAACATTGTAATAAACAAAAAGTACACACTTTTTATCTCTTGATAATTCTAGAAGTATTAACTGGGATTATTAAAAAAATGATAGAAGTGAAAATCCTATTTCAGTATTACTTACATACACGCACACTCACACGCACATGCGGGAAGTTCAAACTTGGCTTTCGATGATAAAGTCCACTTTTCCTATTTAATTACGTATATCTTTTTTCTGTTCTTAATTAGTCGTGCGTGAAACGACGTCTGATAAAAAAAAACAAAAGACTTAAACAAAAGACTGTAGTGTGCGACGACGACAACGCGAGTTGCTCGATTGACACACGAGTAAGTGAGTGATAAGTCATGATTTCACTGGAATTCGTGCATGCACTTTACTTTCTATCTTTTTATTTTGAATCTGATTGACGACTGTTAACGGGTGTTGACTTTCGCGAGTGCAATAATGATCGCCAAAATCTAATTGTTATTTTTCGCAAAGTTTGTTTTTCGCCAGTGGCAATTAGACACGAAAAAATCGAGCATTATCACACGTACCCTCAAAGTGTCTCAACACCCTCTCGAAAGTCTGGTTCGCGAAACAATGTCAAAGAGAGAAAAAACCATTCAGAGAGATGACACGAACCTGATTTGCCGACTCTTGGTCCGCCGAGGACGACCACCCTGATCCTGTTGACGTTCGTCATTGTCGTAGGTGTTAAGTGTCGTTGACCATTGTTCACAATTAATTTGTTTTTGTCTTACACTTGGAACAATAACCAAATGAAAAACTCAACTGAACGAAGCACCTGTGTTTTATTGTCTTATTCCTATCGAAATGTTCGAAAATTTGTGTGAAATTTGATAAGGAAAGCACAGATGGGAAAAAGTGTATAAAAAAAGAAAGTTTACTAATATCCAGAATGTTACTATATGGCTCGAGCGTCTGCGAGCGACTGACTGGTTCGCTCACCGGTAGAACGAAGGTAAAGTTCGTGAGTTAACCAAGATGGCAGCACCTCGCGCGATTCGCGCGGAGGCACGTGCGAGAGAACTACTACTCTCGCTTTTTCTCGGAAAGTGTAGATTGAGAGGGAGGCTGTATTTGTGCTATTATGGCGATGAAAATCATTATCGTATTATCCAACTTGTTCATTGACATTTGAACGTAATGGGAACTACATACTAATGACGATTGTAATTCGTAACTATATAGTGAGTTTAAATATATTATAGTCAGTTGTTAAATTGCTAATAAATGTTTTTTGATAATAAAAAGGAATAATTACAAATGAAAATCGCTTAGATTTACATATGCATAGTACCGTTCACTTTGAACTTATATATATGATGAGCGTTCGACTTTTTAATACAATGATTTAGTTCGCGTAACTGTTTCGCGACGCGCGACAATACGCATATTTCATTTCAATTGCTTCGCGATTGAAACATATTCTCTCTAACTTTCGATCGTTGCATTTATGCATAATGTATGCGTGTTCATTTCTTATATGTAACTAACTATTATTTCAACGAAATCATTACTGTTAATTTGAAAAAAAATTTGTCTCATTTTTAAAGTTAGTTTAACCGACGTTTAGATAATTATTAGATTCGTATCTCATACTAATTGCATTGTATAAATTACTTTTAAGATTAATAAAGAAGCAAAGGTTACCGATAAAATTTCAAGTAGATCTTAAAATAATTAACGAATTTCAAAATTATAATTTTCAAAAAAACGAAAATAAACAAAAGGACAAAATTTTGATGTAAAACTTGCTTTATCAATTTCAGTGGCCTAAACATATTGAGAAAAAATCAATAATACATTTTTTGTAACCTTTAAAAAAATAAAATTATTACTCAAATGTTTTTTGAAATCGTTCGATATCATAATTACAAATGCGGTTTTAAAAGTATAAAATGAAGTGTCTTTCATGAAAGCAGTACCTTTAACTTGAAATTTATTGTATAAAAATGTAAATAACTGTTACGTTTAGTTTCTATTGCCATTTCAGAGGTAATGCAAACAACTGTATGACTTAATTTGCAGCTTTTAGATGAGACAATCAATACGACAATAAATCTCTCAAAACGAGCAAATTTATTGATTGACCTGTTGAAAGTTAAAGAAACCAAACTGCATATTGTTTTTTTTTTCTTTCTTTGCGCAAGTCAAAATAACAATGTACCTCTTTCAACTCATTGTCGAGGACAAATAGTAAATAAAACATTTAAAAAACTGGTGATATATATGTGTGCGCGCGCGCCCGTATGTATCTGTTGTAATATTGAGCTTCAAACCGTCCAAATTATTTATTTGCGACGATGCACATCTAAAAAAATGAAATAATGCATTTATTAAGGATTATTATTAAAATCACTGACGTAATACGTCCAGGCTGTAAAAATAAATACAGCAATCAATTAAGTAAGAACGTGTGCACATGACCTTCAACTTCTTTTTCACAGGTAAATTAGCGCAGGTATGCGGGTTAGTCGGTCGAACAAGACAAAAGAAAGGGATCAGCAGATTTTTTGGGGATGAGGCGCAAAGTTTATGACCAATTATTACCTCCGCGAAGAGGCGACGTGAGTATGTGAACTTTCATGCTGTTTGCTTCTGGCTAAATTGACATTCTTACGTGGATGATTCACACACATGCAAGTATCATTTATACTTATCATGCAGTTTTCTTTTTCTGTTGGGAGAGGTCTTTCAATGTTTACTAAACATTATGCAAATGAAAGCAGTAGGTCTTTGTAAGGCCGACCGCGATGATTTAATAGTAAAATACACTTACATTTTTGTCGTGAAATTAAAAATTTTTCAAAAAGAGAATGTCCATTATCATTTTTGAAAATAAGAGAAAATCGCTTGCACTTAAAAAGAAAACAAGAGCCATGCATTATCCTTATATGGATGCAGTCGGTGCACATATATGCAAACAAGCAACAATGCGCGTGCGAGGCAAGGAAATTTTCGATAAACAAAAGAAAGACTGAGAGAGAGAGAGAGTGCGAGAGAGAGTGCGAGAGAGAGTGCGAGAGAGAGTGCGAGAGAGAGAGAGAGAGAGAGAGAGAGAGAGAGAGAGAGAGAGAGAGAGAGAGAGAGAGAGAGAGAGAGAGAGAGAGAGAGAGAGAGAGAGAGAGAGAGAGAGAGAGAGAGAGAGAGAGAGAGAGAGAGAGAGAGTACAAGTCTCTTTTTTCTCTTTTGTTTAGAAAAGAGAACAAGAAAAAAATTCTTATTCAAGGTACTTCCTTGGGTATGTAACAAAACGTTGTGAAAGAAACTCCGTTTTTGTTCGTTATTACACTTTATTTTTTCGTCTAATTGTGTGTGATTTTATAATTTGTTTATTGATTGTTTGTTTTGACGTGAATTTATGTATATACATAAGGCTGTATCAAAATAAGAGCACCATTTACAGTGTAAACGTGAGTCTCTTAAAACACCATTTTATTTGTTATTCATTATTGTTTAAATTTTTCTTGACTAATGATTACGCGAGTTATTACATAGAATATGCATACGTACTGCCACCCACACATTTCGTAATAATTTCTTTGTATTTATGTCCAAAAAGATTACCTTTGAAATAGTCTAGTTTACTGATATACTAAAACATCAGTTTTGAAATATGATATTTGTGTTTGTATTTACAGTGTTTTCTTTTTCAACTGTTGTTGAAATTCGTTTATCATTCTTTTCCGTTTTCTCAACATGGCTTATCGACTGACAGAAAATTTTTTGTGCAATTTTATCTTTATAGCTCCTAAAAGCCTTTATAAAGGCTGTTTGTTATAATTCAAGTACACTGCTCACATATATACTCAACGCAGTATAACAGTCTCCTAGAATATGTAGCTTCATTGACTGTACAATAAATTTCAATCTCTGAATGACTTTATTTGCATATTTGTAAAATTATTGACTACGTCAAGTTTTCAAAGATAATAAACTTATTACATTTACATATTTTTTAAGCAGTTGTTTTTAAGGTTCATTGTACAGTGTGTACAACTTTAATTTTTTTGAAATTTAGAGTAATGAAATTAATCTCTTTTTTGAAATCAATACTTATTAATTGACACCTTTCATTGGTAGTTTTCTCAAAGCTATAAAGATAACAGTTACACCACGCAACTCATGTCCGATTAAATTGTAGTATGAAAGGCTTTAACTTTACAAATATAAAAATAAGCAATTTTACACAAAGAAAGAAAATAAATTCGAATCTTATCAGAGTATACAAAACTCACTTAGAATATATCGCAATGCAACTGATTCGCAAACTGTATTATATATCGCAAAGAATATTGATACTCGATAAACTCGTTGTAAAAATATATTATATTTGAATCAATAATTTTTTTTCCACGAGAGATCCCTGCAGTCAATGTAACTAACAATATCAAAATATTACAACACTTCCTAATAATAACAAGTTCAGCCGATAGGCAAATGACGTCGGCGTATCAATGAATCATGAGAACAGTTGTTACCAAATTTAAGTCATAAATTGAAATAACACGTAACATAATTCCGTCAATAATAAAAGTTAGAATGACTGCGAACAAAACCGATCATTAACGATATGTAAAATATATATGTATTTCTAATAAAATGAAACTAAAAAAATTGAGAAAGCGATGCTATAATCTAAAACTATTTCAACTGCTCTATTCGCGAGAGAAAAACGAGATTAAACGCCGACACATCGATAAGCCATCGCCAATACTTTGTTGTTTTTTTTTCTTTTTTAAGTTGACGATCGCAAGCTTCGCTGTGCTATTTTGACAGTTTTTTCAGCTGATTGAACTTGAGTTGTTATTGTTGATGTTGTTGGTCGGTCGGATTTTGTTGCTGTTGACGACGTTGATGGCACCGATTTACCGTGTTGCATGGCCATGTGCCTTGCAAACGAATTACTTGGCACCAAAGCTGCGCAGTCCGTGCATCGACTTACCATTATGGCTGTAATTTAAAGTTGATTAGTAAATCTTATATTTTTTATATCGAATTTACAACCTACACTTGTAAAATTACGATAAGTTTATTTTTAAAAAGATTATAATATTTTCGGACAACATATACTTTGTGAAACAAAAATGTAATCGAATTTCAACGGTTGTTTCTATTTAAATAGAAATGTGTTACGTATTAAATAAACTTTTCAATGTCTGATTTTTATTAAAACAATAAAACTAAAATGCTCAAGAAATTTTTACCCTCATTTCCTTTAATTGCGTTGTTTTATCTTTTTAGTAATAAATATGATCTTATATTAGTTATAAGCTGTAATCTAGTATTTTTTTACACATTATAAAACAATTTTTCTTCGTGTATAAAATATATTTGATTCTTTCAAATCGATGCAAATCGATAAAATAAATAATTATTATGTTATTGAAAATATTTGTTTTTTTTTTTCTCATAAAATTACATTTGTAAAAAAATCATATTTTAAAATTAGCTTTGTATTTTAGAAACATCCATTATTTTACATACATTGAAAAATGCAAGTTTATGTAAGATTCAAGAATATCAAAGGAAATAAAAAAGATAAATATACACTAAATCATGAGATAAAAAAATAATCTACATTTTAATCATTTTAGGGTTTGAATTGAAAGAAAAAAAAACTTCACTCGAAACGTATAATATTCTAAAATATTTTACAATCAACGTACCGGACTTTTTGGTCCTGTGCTGAAGTTGATGGCTATTGAGTGCGTTAACACTGGAGAACCATTTACCACATTCTGAACAGTTGAGTTTCTTCAGTTTACCAGTCTGACTGGAGCTGAGCACGACTTCTTCCATTTCATCCATCTCTTCAGTTTTGATTTTCTTAGCTGTGTCGACATCTATTGGTTTCGACGATGACGACGATCTGCTACTTTTTCGCGATTCTTCCGTCTCGGTTTCAGCCTCCAAGTTTTCGATTATTTTCTCTTCCTTGAAAAAGACAGGTTTGTCTTTTGGTGGTCGTCCACGTCTTCGTGGTTCGTCGCTTTTCTTCTCTGACGATTCCTCTTCACTAAGTTTATGTTTCTTCGCAGATTCATCCTCGGCTTTGTCTTCGGACTCAGTTGATTTTGCATCATCTGTTGGCTCCTCGTCTTTGGACAGCGTTCTCTTTGGGGGCCGACCTCGTTTTTTCGGTTCAGTCGAGGGAGTGTCAACAGAGCTTTCTATTTTTTCATCGCCATCGGCATTATCTGTTTCTTCATCCTTCGATACACTTTTCTTCTTCGGTCTACCGCGTTTCTTAGGCAGTACCGAAGACTCAGAAGTTTCTTCTGTCTTGTTTTCTATCTTTTCTTCTACATCTTCAGACTCTTCGTCCCGATACATACTCCGTTTAGGTGGTCTTCCTCGTTTTCGTGGCTCCGGTGTCAATAATTCAACCTTCTTTTCGTCAGAACTTGCGGTTTTATCTTCTAATTCTGGAGTTACAGATTTTTCCACGTAAAAGCTTCTCTTTCCTGGTGGACGACCACGTCTACGAGGTTCCGACGATGTTGGTTGTCTCTCTGCTGAAGCTTCTGATTTTAGCTCACCTTCTAGTATAGGACTAAAGAAATAAAATAATTGTAACTTAGCATGTATTAAAATTGAGTATTATTTTTTCATCGTTAAAATAACGACAATTGCTCACCTCTTATCTTTTTCTTTAGAAGCGCTCCTCTTGCGTAGCGGTCTTCCTCGTCTCTTCGGTCCAATTTCTCTTTCGGGTGAACTTTCATCCATACTCTCGTCCGTCTCATCGGTCTCGGATTTGTCACCTCTACTAGACCAATTTTTAGCCGGCCTACCACGTTTTCTTGGTGAGTGTACAACTCGAACGTGTCTAGCGAGAGCAACAGCAATATCGAAATACTCGTCGCACGACTTACACTTAAACTTCTTGTCGACGCCGAGTTTCTTTCTCTCTTCGAGCTTCTCTAAATAAGCCGGTGACTTGGGACATATTTGCACGTGCCTCTCGAGTGCCCGACGTTTACGGAAATTGCGCATACAGTGACTACACTGCATCATCGGCTTGCGTATCTTCTTCTTACGCGGTGCATTGTCATCTTCTTCATCCGTGTCACCCACACTGATCACGTCGTTCTCTTTGTCACTTGAACCTTTTTTACCGTCCAGTGTTATTTCCATAACGTTGGATCGTTCGGATTCATCAATGTCAATGTCTATTACTTCGACAAGTCGCGTCGATCGTCTACCTTTCTTGGCTGGTTGACGTGGATTGTAATCGGGATCGGCTGTCACTTTCTTTTTTCTTCGACCGCGACGTCTTTGCACTACAGGCTCCTCTTCTTCCTCGGAATAAACAGATGCTGGCTGAATTATGATCTCCGAGTCACCACGATTTACAACCGTCAACTGTTGCTTTCGAGAGCGTTTTGCTTTCACGCCACTCGAACTGTCAAGAGTCGAATTTGGTATACTTTGGGACATGTTATCGTCAGACATGTGTCCATCGTCAAAATCACTGTACGCCGGATCTATTACTTCTTGTTTGATCTTGCGATGTGCCTGCAGGAGATTGTTCGTCATTCGTGCTTTTTTCGGATTCTTGTACGTACGATAGACTTGCGTCGTTAGTTGTTTTTTGGGAGTTAGTATTGTTGCTGGTTTCGGTGTGCTACGTATGCTTGATGCGAATTTCGTTATCGGCGTTTCTTTCTTCGTCTTTTGTAACTCGACTTTAGACGTTGTCGTTGTCATTGTCGTTGTTGTTGTAGTTGGTAGTGGTGATGACGGTGGTGGTTTGCCTGTTTTGAAACTCTGTATAGATGCCTGCAATTCATCAAATGTTAACTCAGAGTCCGATAGGTTTTCGTCGCAGAGAATATATTGCACTGTTGATTGTTCTAGTATTTCTGCATCACTATCTAGATCTGTAAATTATTCGGGAAATTGAATTTTTAAGTTTAATGCAACATTTATATTTAATACTCACCTAGTACGTAGGATTCATCTTGATTCTGAAGAACATAAGTGATTTTTTCTTTCTGATTGATATTAAGCTTCTTTAGTGGTGTAACGGCTGATTTAATGCTTTGTGTTTGTGGTTTTGCTGCTTGATAGACAACGGTTGGTTTTATTGTTTGAGTTTGTGGTTTTGTTCGATGAACATAATGTTTTGTTTGATTAACGTATTGCCTTGCTGGAATAACCATCTGCTTTGTCTGGGCAATGAATTGCCTTGGTTGAGTGACTACCTGTCGTGGTTGAGCCATTATTTTTCTCGGCTGAGGGACTATTTGCCTTGTTTGTGTGACAATTTGCCTTGGTTGTTGAGCAATAATTTGCCTTGGTTGTTGGGCTATAATTTGTCTCGGTTGGGTAACGATATGCCTTGCTTGTGTTACAATTTGTTTTGGTTGAGTTACTAGTGGTCTTGTTTGACCAGTAATAGTCTTTGCTTGAGTGGCAATCGGCTTTGTTTGAGTAACAATGTGTCTTGTTTGAGTAACAACAGGTCTTGATGTTTGATTAACAACTTGTTTTGTAGAAGCGACATTTTTACTATTAACGTCGTGATTTTTTGTAACTATCTTTGTAAGTGGTGTCTCTTTTTTTCGCACCTTGACTTCTTGTACTTTCTCTTGAGGTTTAGAAACCTCAATGATTTCTGTTTTGATACCTACTAAACTTTTCTCCAATATATCTTCTTTTTTTTTAACTGGATCTACAGATGCAGGTGCTTGACTTACTCTTTCAAATTTAATTTCTTCATCTTTTTTCTCACATGGTTTTAATTGCTTATTTGCTTGCGCAGAAGGTTTCTTTACTGTTTTCACAGCACCTTCTCCAATCAGCCTTTCGACATCAGATCTGTAAAACGTTAAAATTTGTGATAAATCACCATTTTACAAAAGTTTAAATTTTTAATTCAAGTTACTTCATAAGAAAATGGAAATTTGTTGGTGGTTCTCCAGATTCATCATACAGAGCTACTGCAAATATATCATCTGAATCCTCTACTGCATACAGTGCCAGCTGTTGGCCAGTGGACGTAAGAAACGTAGCAATAGTTTCATCATCATCTGTATCTGAATCTGATTTTGGTTCTGGTTCTTTAGATTTGGATAAAGCTTCTGATTTTATAATTTCCTAGAAGTTTATTTACTCATATTATATATTTTTAATTTATACTATAACATAGATCAATAATTTTGGTATTGTGGATAATCTGTAAATTTACCTGACTTGGTATAGCAACAACATTTTCTTCATCTTTGGAATCATTCAAAGATGCGTGAAGTGTAATGACATTATCCAGATCAGGATTTTGGTCAGAAACATTATCTTCAGATTTAATGTTTGTGATTAGTTTGACTACTTGTCCTTCTTGAGACTCATTGTCATAAATTATCTATAAATATATATAGAATATTTAATTAAAATATATTAAAAAAAAACATTTTTTAATCTGACTTTGGATCTATTTGTAAATGAAGCATCTTGTGAATTTTAAAACAGTTGTTTCTTGATAAATAGAAGTAAAGGATAAGGATAATGAATAATGAATTTCCTTACCACAGCTCCCTGTAGTTCATTCTGACTGTCACTCAAGAGTTCTGCTTCATTAGACTTGCTTACATCTGGCATGTGAATCTCTTGGCCAGTTTCAATAATAACTGCATTCTCACTATTGGCTTCCATTGTATATCTCCACTGAACGTTTACACCCTGGTCCTCATAGTATCATGATTTTTGTTGGTCAAAATAGTCAACCAATGCACCAACAGCATCAATCAAATTACACACAAACTACACCATGGAGTCAATATATAATATTTATAAGATTGTATAATGCAGAAACGCACTAAATTTACGAAAGCTTCAGCACTGCACTTGATTACAATAAAATGAGAGAGAATCAGTCGTTAGGATTTTGAGGTTACAGTTACACTGAGACAATTGACTCAAAATTGTATTCGTGTTCCCAGCTAAGAAAGTGTGCAAACCTGCGAATAAGTTTAACTTAATGAACTCGTCTTATGCTAAAGAGACTTGATAATTCAAGGACTTTCAGTTTGTCGCATCCGAGTTGGCTTTCTCGACTCCATAACATAACAAATAACAAATCCCGTCGCGCAGAATCGACTGTCGCTGAAAAAATACCAGTGCACTGTGTACGACACTGCCCGCCACTGCAGCGTCGGCTTCCCTAGGCCCTCTTCGTTGGTACTACCTACTTATTTGATGAACTAGATGTTCGTGACCGTCATTTTTTAACTTTCTTCTTTATTTTTTATATCACACAATAACATATTGTTTTTTGCAATTACGAAAATTTTTAGTTTTTCTTTGCTTCGCGTATATTGAATTATTTACTTACGAATAGCCTAATTAATCACAATCTGAACGTAAGTATATAGATTACAAGCTGAACTTCGCTAGAAATAAACAGTTTTTTACTGTTTTTTTAGACATTCTTCAACTCTTTGTATGCCTGTGTCGTAGTCAATAACCGTATTGATTTTCAGAATTCAGACGACCGACGAAGCGTTCTGATTGGCTGATCTGTTTTTCATAAAACCAATGAACTACAAATTAAATAATATAACGTTTTTTCTTTGATAAACCAACGATACTTTACGATATCTTTCTTGAAAAATATTGTAACGAAATAAATTGCTTTTTTACATATTTTTTCAAAATTATTACGATCGCTACAAAAAATTATTCGTATTTTCAGGTAAGGTCAGTTCAGGCAAATATGGCCACTTTAGTTATTGTCTGCTATGCTTTGAGAGAAAGATATTATATTTAGCTTTAGAATAAAAAAATTATGGTAATTATCATAGAGGATTGTTCTCTGTGGTCTTCATGCTTTGGATGCATACCATATTCAAATCTTTGTTAAAAATGAAGAGGTATATCTACTAAAAATACATAAATTATCATTTTTAAAATACTCAAACAAAAAATAGTTTCAACATTAACTGTTATGCAAATGCATTTCTTGCCAGCCATCAAAATGTATATATCAGTAAATTTATTAAGATTGGAGCAGAAATAATGGAATAAATTATAATAATTAACAGAGAAAGAGATAAGATGTATCCGTAAATGTCACAACACAATATGTAACAGAGTTTTGTCTTGCTAGTCATATTATGTGCAGGAGGCAAGGATTACATTATAAGATTTTACTTTTTCTTTATAACAGCATGTGAGAATTTGACTTGATAGCGTAAAAATCATGTACTTCAAATAAAGTACTTAACCATTAAGTAATCACGATGTTAACAAAACTGAATGTTATTAGTGGCGAAAAAACTTGATGACGAATAAGTAAGAGCAATGCAATCAAATAGTAACTTGATGTTAACTTATGAGAAGACATTATTAAGACTGAGCAAGGGAAGTTTAATTAAGTGCCATAATAATTTGCTGTTGATCTAATTAGGTAAATTAAGAAAAAGGTTTATATTATAATAAATAATTAATTAGAATAAACAATGCAAGTGAAATGAAAAATTTTACAAGTACAATGTAAAATGATTATGGTTTTTGTACTATATTCTTTTAAAATTTTCGAAATATATATGAATCTTTAAAGAATTAATTATATATTATACATAATTTTTACAAATGTTTTTTATTCAATGAAAAGATAACATAAAATGTTTACATATAATTTGCTGTGTTGTTTATTGTTTGTTTATTCTTCACTTTATGAATAGTTTTCTGAATAATTCTTTCTTTATTCTTAAGTTCTAGATACAATATCTAAGTAAAAATCAACACTATAAATTAATGATTATTAATTGCAATTTTAAAGAAAAAATTTCAAATTCAAAAGGTTTTATCAACTTTGGATAAAGCAGTGGCCATTTTTACAACTTTGTGCGTACTTCACTGTATATTGGTAAGATGGAGTGGTGAATTTGAAAAATAAAACAAATTTTTATTTTCGCCTGCATTTACAAACAAAATAAATATAGAACCGGCGTATGAAGTATTTAATTATTTTAACAAACATCACTTGTGTAAATTAATCAAACACAACTAATTAATTGCTAATAACTAACGCGCTATAAAAATAATCGAGTTAATTACTAGCTGTTACTATAATTACAGAATCGCTCACTTTCTAATTAGGGTATGTCGCTTCGCTCGCTAATGATTTTGTACACTTGTAGATAAATATGTAACGATGCGATTGTGACGAGTACGTGAAATATTTATTAGTTGAGAGGCATTCGTCATCATTAAAATATAAACATTGTATTCTAAAACTTTGACGATCTTGTAGATACATATAGCGTGATATAATCAATAGCATTTAATACACATGTGCAAGTATGCAGACTGGGACGGTCATTTAGGATTGACCATCCTTCTTCCAAAATGACACATATTTTCTTAATATATTTTTTCATAATACTTTCCAAGTAATCTATCTTTTTCCTTTCTGTCGCTTATACGAATAATGACACTAAATTATACTTTTCCCCCTTCTTATCCTTGAAGTTTCCGCGAATATCGCTTATGCTAATCTCAAGGCGTCGAATTCAAATGGCGGATTATAATTGTTAATTCGTTAAATGATCCTCCGCGCGCAAGTCTTCATCAGTTTCTCTTCCCTTCTCCCATCAAAGAAATTTTTCTTCCTTAACTTGTTCATATCTCTTCCCTGTCGCAAAGCTTGCGAGTTCGGAGAGAAAGTGGGTCTCTCTCTCATATTTTTGCATAATTCAAACAGCTGTTTGAATTAAAGCGCAATTAAAGAGGGGCTGAATGTTGTAAAGCTCGCGCGCTTTTTCATTACTTTCCTTGCGTCTGTTTGGCATGGTTAAAGGTTGCGTTGTTATCTCTTACTGCTTTATCACTTCGCTTACGCGTTTTACAACTTGGTCGTTCCTTTTGTTTCTTTTCCCCTTCCAATACTACACATTTTACCAATTTGAGTAAGAAAAAACTGTTAAAATATGAAATATGCAGTTCATTAACATTTTAGTTAATCTAAATTTTTCAACAAAATTCGCACATCATATGTAGTGATAAAAATAACAACAGACAAAAACATTGTCTGCACGAGGCTTCATACATAAACTAGAATAATTAATCATCCTGACAAGTCTGATTACTTTCTTTATTTTGATACATAGACATCTAAATGTTAATTCGAAATGTTATAACGTATCATTATAATCTTTTACACAATGTTGACATGTCGATTGTTCTAGCAATTTTGCGATAGCCAATGCTCTAATAAAAGTAATAACGAAACCCGTGAACGTTTTAGAAAGCAAATTGATGAATGAATGCAATAATCAGCTGATAGTGTGCAATGTGATTGAACGCGACGAGTATCGTAAAAATCAGACGAAAATCTCTTTCTCGAAGATTCAAGTGGAGAACGCTGTACGCTTAGAAAGAAAAGGAGAGTCTCAATACACGTACTCACAGACGTGCAGCATGTGTGCGTGCGCGTGTGTGTGTACAAAAGGCGAACTCTTCGAATGATCGATGAGAGACTACGGGTCGCAGATTTTCCTGACGCGAAAATGCAGATTCTAAAATAGGGACGACAAGACTCGCTCGTGACGCGACGACGAGAGTTTACAACGGATAAGCCGTCGCTCAAAAACGAGTTTATCGAAAGTTTCTCTCTCGCAAGCAACTATCGGCCCGAATTATAAATTGAACGACTTTATCGTACGCGCACGTGGCCGAGCTCGCCTTACCTTTCTTCTTTTCCTTTTCCACCGAGCAAGTTTTTAATTTGGCAAGTTTTAGCGACGCGCACGAGTGCCGTCGCGATATTAATTATTAACTATTACTCTCGATCGATCTCATCGCCGTGTGCCAAAGTGAATTATTTTTCGACGTGTCTGGCGTGTGCGCGGGGCTTAACTGTAACACAACGCGCAGTACGCGATTAAAATTTTGTTCTGCCCGAGCTTGTCGACGAAGGAGAGCGGGCCAATATCGAGTCAGCGAACAACTATCTTTTATCAAGAAAATTCCAATTCCCTTTAGTGACAAACTTCACTTCTCCACCGCAAGGTACAGGCAACTATGCGACTAACGAATAAGACGACAAGTATTCCCGGCGATAAAGAAACCTGGGGGAATCTTTCAATATCGAGGCTCACGCGCGCTCCTTTGTGCCAGCGTCGAACTTATATGAAAATTAAGAAGAGAAATTGCCTATAAATTCGGCCTGACCCTCGAATGTACGTCACATGATCAAACTGAAATAGTGTCTTAGCGAGGGCTGCGGCTCTCTTATCCGATCGCTTTATCTACTATTTTATCAGATTGTAATCGACGTCGACCATGGATTTTACATTGCAATCATTCTTCATTTACAATTTATCGTAATTATCGATAAACGCCCGAAATCGTTTCATCTGACTTTTGACTTACATCGATTTTCAATCAGATTCAATATTATTCTTCTCATTTCAAAGATTATACATTTGGCATATATCGGTTATGAATATCATCACTGTCTACCTTTGTTTTTTTACAGGATATCAAATTCAAGAACGTTATCTTCAAGTGTACCGTTACTTTCGTAAAAAACAGTCGCAAAACCAATAGTTTTTTAACAATTCCACCTTTCGACGAAATACCTGCGAAACGAATCAAGCAGTGACGAAACGATTTGGTTCGCAAGACACTCTTCGGATTCACTTTTAAGAAAATGATTATTAAACGTTCTTATCCATCTCTCAGAGGAGAAGAGAGAGGAACGGCTTATCATCTGGCAGTCGAAAGAAAAATTACGAGGGGTGTGTGTGTGTGTGTATGTGCAATCGATGTCGCACGAAGCGCGCGAGTTTTATTGGCTTTTTGGCTGTCGCCCTCACCCGCCGCGGCAACCCGACAAATTACCTCGTTCGGGAATTTCATAAAGCCTTTTCGGAAATTTATGTGCGAGCCTCAGAATCTTTGCTTTTTTTGAGAGAAGAATTTTCTCAGGTATTTTTATTTATTGTCCGATAATAATTACGCTGAAAAATTTATGCGACCCTTTTGAATGTCCCTTAAATATTCACCATTTTGTCACGTTTACTTTATTAATTTTTCGAATGCTTATTAACTACTTAGCGATTTTCTGTAATAACAGAAGCAGTTTTCACATTGTATTCAGATTATTAGTGATGTATTTCATTTCAGTAGTATGTGTAGGCTTAATAATAGAGTTATATTATACCGCTGATATTCAATAATTATTATAATTAATTATTCAATAATTAATAGCACATTAATTTTGAAAAC